AGTACCTCCTTCCTACATGGCTGAGCAGCAGTGAGTTATTACATGCTTGCAAAGCTACTACAGATGTTTGCCTTTAAATTCAGTTCTTTAATAGTCTCCGTTACCTCTAGTTTGTTGGAATATATTTTCAAGGAACAGTACTTTAATAAAGGGTATAAACTGTTTGAAAAGATGGTTATGTGTGTGAAAATGTAATTAATGCTGACTTTTCAAATTCATTTTTTCCAGTCCTGAAAGCACTCCCTATATTGGTTCAGGAAGCTTACAAGGAAAAACTGACATGTGTTTCTGTTCCCCATTTTCAACCAGGTACACTGTCAGCCCTAAAGAAGGCAAAGTCAATGCTATCTTCCTTAACTGGCCTGTCTCTGGGACTCTGGAACTTAGTGAGCCACAGGCTACGCTTGGAGAAACACAGGTAAAAGACAACACACCCCTCACACCCCTAGTTCCCTGACGCCCCCTTCCCCTTTAGAACAGTGAGGCTTTTAACATGGAGTGCAAGGAATGAACATACTCTGAAGGAAAACACATCTAGGATTTGTCATGTTCCATCAGTGTTTATTTTCATTTCTGGCATCTTTGGGAACGTATAACTTTTAGGAGAGAGTACATTGGAAGAGACCCAGAAAGATGTTTGGTTTTGTTCTGGGACCTCCTTGTCATAGTTGTCCCAGTGGGATGTGTCTTCTCCAATAAAGTTAAATTGAATTGTTGCTGGCATATGTTTTAGCTTGCAAACTGGATCAAGAGGCCAAGTAGCAGAAAGAAGACTTGCCTCTCCCTTTTCCTGTGTAGACCCTAACTCAGCATGACATTTCTTTGTCATAGCCATCCTCATGACTTTGGTGATATTGTAACTGCAGTAATGGCGCCGTAGTTTCAAGTCAGTGTCTTGCACAAAGGGGAAGCACACAGAGGTTTTCATTGCCCAGGGAAGCTAAAGAGCAAGTCAGGGCAATCTTAGATGTGTGTCTTGGAGCAAGCGCCAGTCAGAAGTTGAGGACACTGATGCCATGCCTACACTAGCAAGTAGTTTAACCCAATGGAAGCAGATTTATACAGCAGAACAGCTGATGCTCAGGACTTAGTATCAACACTGTGCATTTAAGGTGGGTTGCACTTTGGCTTAGCTCTGTCCTGGTCTTATGCATTGGATGTCCGCTAGCTGCTGAAATGCATTTAGGGTGTTTCTAGACTCTCTTCTGGCCTACTTCCATATCAAAAGAATCTAATTAGCGCCAAGATAGCTCTGCACTAAGGAGGAGAGTAATTTCAGAAATTATGTATGTGCATCCTGAATTTTGTAGAGGCATCTAGACTATATGTGCACAAGAAAGTAATGTTCTTCAGGGGTAGAGACTGGCCTTCAGCTGCTCCACTATTTCAGCATTTCACCAGCTGGCTTAAGAGTCTCAGGTCAGCATTGTTCTGGGATATCTGGCTGTACTCTGTAAGAAATATTGCTTACTCAAGACTACAAATTCCTCCATGGGAAACAGGTATTTCAGAAATAGATGATAAAAAGCTGTGTACTGTGGTACCTGGATCCCTGCTTGGAACCTTTTACAGACCTAAGTATTTCTCAAGACCCAACATCACTAGCTTTACTACTTACATATCTACCTTGCAAATATTTTTCTACCACCTTAAATAATTGTTTTATCATTCATTCAGTTGTAAGTGGCATTTAAGAATAATTGGATAGTAAAGTAGCTATGGAACAACATTTCTTTTGTCAATTTTGCAATGATATGCACCTTGAAAAGGCATTGTTCTAATTATAGCGTATGTTTCTGTTTCAGGTGAAGCTGATTGGCTACAAGGAACTGTTGAAATGGGTTGCACTGGGAGAAAAGGGAATAGCGATAGCTCTACCTCAATTAACTCCTAAGCAATTGCCATGTCAGTGGGGCTGGGCTTTGCAATTGACTGACATAAACTGAGCCACGCATTGCTTGAACCTTGGGTAGCAGGTAATGCTGATATTTTGCCCACTTTCTCATCACTGGTTTCTAATTCTTACTTGCTTGACTGAGAAACATCAGTAATTTCACTTTTTTCTGACATGGGGGCTGTTATTAAAGGGTAGAATGGAATGAACCTCACATGAAACCTAGCACTTGTTAATTGAATCTTTGCATACAATTTGTTTCTTTGAACTTGTGTCAAAAACTGAGCATCTACCTTGCCCTCCCCACTTGTTTTTTAGTCAGTTTCTTGCCAAGTTATATAAAAAAACAGGGGGAAAAGAGGCGATTTTTCAAGACTTGAGAAAGAACAAAGCTAGCTCAAGCCAGCATTCAAATGCATGTAAGTTAGATTTCTTCCATTAAAGAAGGTACGCAGCCGACTTCCACAAAACTGTACAGTAAAAACTGTCAGTTCTAGAGAAAAGAATAAACTTTTTGAATTGTGTACAACAACTGGGAGCTGGTAGTTTCAGCTGAGTAATGCATCTGCAAGAACAGTTCTGTAAGAGTTAGGAATTCATCACAGATGCATGGAGGTGATGCATATGTACATTTTAATTTCTTATCCTGAAAATAATTAATTTTACCTGTTCCTAGTGTTGCATAATTCTATCCATTATTGTGATAGAGGGGTAGGGGTTTCTTGCTGTTTTGTATAAATTTATATGGTTAAAGCTGACTCTTGTTTACAGCCATTGTTTTTACAGTTACCAGGGTGCCTTCTGGGGACCATTAAATAAAACATGTACTTTAACAACTAACTTTTTTTTTTTTAAAAAGAGACATAATCAGGAGTTGCTAGAGATCCTCAACGTTGGCAGAGACAAGATTTTAAGCAGAGGGTAGACTGCATCCAACTTGAAAAATTTCCAAACTCATCATGTGTCAGGATTTGTAGGGATAGACCTGCAGTGTGAAGTTTGCAAAGAAGGGGAGATATAAGCCAGCAAAAAGCAGGAATTTTTCAGTATAGAGAGCAAAGGCTTATTGTTCCTGAGTAATGTCAGTAAGTGCAAAACTATTACTGTACAAGCTAAATTCATTTTCACCTATGTCAAGATTTTAAGTGATAGGCCTGATGAGGTTATTGCTGTTCCATCTAGTAATGTTAATACACACATAAATTTTACATTAAAATATTTTATTACAATACAGACAATTAGGCTCAAAATTAATACAAATTAAGATAAAATATTTACAAGTTAATGTGTACAGCGTAGCTGTTTTAACAGCATAAACAAGAACTTCTAAAAATCCAGATTCCTTTAGTATTAAGTAAGAGAGTGCGCATACCCCCAGCTTGTTCAAGAGGAACGCGCATCAGTTGGCAAAGGCTGGCTGAAGAATGACACTCTTTGGAATAACATTTGTAGAGTTAAGGAGAAAAAAGTTTTCCTCTATAAAAAGAAAAAATTGGGAGAAGAAAGAAACTTTACTTCATTCTGCTATTCTGATCACTAACATTAATTTTTTCCAAAACTTACAGATCCCAGGCAAACAAAAGCATTTTTTAGTAACTTGTAATACTGCCACCAGATGCCTTTCAGATGCAATAATCAAATGAATTATAGAAGAGTTTAACCACTTCTTTTAATAAAAGTCTTTACATACAGTGATTCAACAATAATGTTTTTAATGGGTGTTTGAAACAGAATTCTATTAGAACAAATATGGGCTTCCTCCCACTTCTCTCAGAATGTTATTTCTGCTGGTCTACCACTCCTACACCGTTATAAAATTAACCTGTCTCATCAGTAGTCACAAGGATTTGCTATAAATACACAATCTATTCCTATAAATATGCAGTTCATTTCTCTAGTTGCTGAGGGGTACTAAAAGCTTCATAAACATTAGCAGCAAAATCTTTCACTTGTTCCATCATCAGCAGGTCCTGGAAGAAATTGAAAGAATGAATTTACTTAAACACATCCACCACTATTCTAGTTTTGCTGGAATACATAATTCATCATGAGAAAAGCACCTAGCACACCCACAGAGATCTAACTCAAATTTTCCTGCTTTAGAAAGGTTTATGGGCAGAACTGCAAGTAGAACCAAGTCAAGAAACCTTTTTGGGTTTCTGCACAGTTCAGCAGAGGGAAGAGGTTCTAGAAAAACAGCATACTTCTGGAAGATACAAGTTTACAAAAACTTGAAGTTTTGCCAATTATTTCTACTCTTTTTTTAATGCCACTGAAATTAAACATAATGAGGTACATTTTTTAAAAGAAATATACAACATTCATTTCAAAATTTTACTTAGGATATTTTAAATAAGCAAGATTCTTACCTGAACAAAGTGACTGGGTGTTTCACTGCATACTGAATGGATCTGTCCATTTATTATTGGAATTATCTTGGCTAAAGGAAGACTGACACTGGAAAGACTAGAAAAGAACAAAAACTATTGACCTAACCTGCTCTGACATGAATAAAGCCACTAAACTGTGATTATTACAATTCTAAATTACTGCTTCAAAAGTAATAGTTGAAAGACTGCAAATTAAAATGTACAGATGAAAAATTTTTCCCCCCTATCAAGTATGTTGTTTAATATAGAGAAGTTCCAAAGCAAATTTCAGGTGGTGTTCCTATTGCACATAGTTTCACACTTGCTTCTCATGCAAGAAAAATACAGTTTAGCCAGAGTCCATCACATGTGTGTGTATGTAAACAGTTGTTAGAAGTACCAGTCTACAATCTCACACTATTTCAAACTCTAAACCAGGCTTAGGACAGACAGACAAACTACAGCCTTAGGGATATTTTAAGTGATGTAAATAGTATATATTTAAATAAAAACATTACTCTTTGAGAGCTATCATTTATTATTATTACAATAAACATACATAAACCCAGTTACTATTCCAGGTTTTAATATTTCAGAAGTCGTATTTCAAGGATTTGAACTTAGCTTTTGGATTTGTAACACTCTCACTTGCACTGTTTAAAACCAAAGTGAACTTCAGAATAAAAGCTATTTTTAAACGAACGGTCTTCTAGGAAGAGGCAGAAGATTCTGAATGTTAGTATCTTTTTTTCAGCATACCAGCAAAGAACAAAGTTTTTTGTAGGTGCTTTGGCTACAGGTGTTTGGAGAATCACGGTAATGCCCACCTTCTGGGAGAACTACAGCAACTGCTAGTCAGAGTCTGGGGCATACAGAGCTTATCTGCTAATGTAGGGGAATGCTGTCTTTCTCAGGGCCTCAGAGGGGAGGTACTGTGGTGCATCTTTCAGTAGTCACCTCCAGTGGGGTAAATCCTCCTTACCTGGAAAGGCAGTCTGCTTGTACAGTCCTGGCAAAAAGCAGGAAGTACAGGTGTTCTATTTCTACTTTTACATAGAATCATAGAATCGTTAAGGTTGGAAAAGACCTCAAGGATCATCAAGTCCAACCCAACACCACCTAACGCAGTAATCCATGTCCCTAAGCACCACATCTACACGTTTCTTGAACACCTCCAGCCATCTGCCAGTAATGATGGGAAGGACACCTCGTGAATTCTAGCAACTCTATGGGCGAAGTGAGGAGACTGCATTTATTCTTGCAAAGCAAGAAAAGCAATCCTTTCTAGCATGGGAACTTCAAGTAGGCAGGCAAATTAATAACCTTTTTGGAATTCACTATGAACCCAAAGCATTGTTCACATCAGAACCACAACAAAATAAAACATTTACCTATTTACAGAGTCATTCTGAGAGAGATCCTGTTCAGTAGGTCTAAAAAACTCTGCCATATTGTCCAGCAGTCGACTGAATCCTCTATTTAAACACGTGCTCAAAACTGTACTGAAGTCTGGACTGGAAAAACAAACAAGTTTTGATTCCTGAGATTTATTTTTCCAAACTAAAAAATGCTGCAAGTATCCAGTGCTACAGATGTCCCTTCCATGAAGGAAGATACATGACCCAGACAAAAGGACATTAGTATAGCCACCTCAAGAAAGACCAGCTCCTCCAAGAAACTCCACAGCAAACAAATCAACAACATATACTCTACCCTAATGTTACTAAAAACAGATATATCCAAAGCATTCTTCACTTCTCTATTTCTTACTAAGCAATAACAGACTTATCCTTAAAATGCCCCTGATCTCTAGCAGATAAATTAAGAATTGTTTGACATTTGTCTTAATTCACTCATATTCAGTATTTATTGTAGAAGCCTCACTTCGGTAGTGCTCTGGTAAAAGGTTGCATACAACCACGTAAAAACATGCATTAAAAATAAATTCTGATAAGCCAAAATTGGTGTTCATTTTACAAAAGCAAATAAATCCAATAAAATTACTCTCAATTTACCCTGCTTTGGCAGAAGAGTAGTACTCCTCTGTTCCTCACAACTATAGAAAAGGTGAGGAAGAGATAAGGGAGTCTGACTGGGAAGGATATCCTAGTCACCTTGTTAAGGCAGGTTTATTTCTTATAAATGTGTTTCAGAGTTCTCAAATTCTACAGCCTACAATGTGTGGATATAAAAATCTAATGCAGCAGATTGGTCACATTTTACAAATGAAAGTTGACAGCTTTTTATATGAAAGAAATTGTCTTACATAAAAAATAGTTGTGAGGAGGAGTTTAATATGAATACAGGATATTTCTCTATACCTTTCTAGCATATCTCTCGTTTCATTAAGTAATTTAATTGTAGCAATGTCTCTTTCTGTGAGCCCACAGGCCTAGGAAAAGCAAAGACAGACATTATTTAGTAAGAAATCCCTTGGCAACTGCAAGTATAAGAGTAGAAATAGAAGAGTTTTGTACAATGGAATTAAGTCAAGATGCATAAGTCACATCTATTTAAAATAAAATATTTATTGTCATAAATCAGATATTTTAGAATTTATGTTCTAATCTTCCTTTTACATGGTCACTGTAGGATTTTTTTTTTTTTACCACTAAAAACAGTATTAGCAGGAAGTATCACACTAATTGAGTAAAGTATTTTTTCCCCACTTCTGACCTCCGAAACAGAAATAAACCCTGCATATCAGCTTAAGTTAAAGGGATAACTGCAGGTAATCACACCCTGAAGCCTAAGTTTCCTCTTTATAGTAGTATAATATCAAGGTAAGAATGAGTTTTCTCCAATGTGGAGCGTGGATGGAGACAACACCTTAAAAAATACAGGAAATTACTTCAATGTTACAACTGAGACTAGATACACCTCTCTCTTTACTCTTGTTCATTTTCCAGCCCAAAGCAACAAGGGATTCCAGCACAGCATCACTCTCCTGTGCAGCAGCCAAGATGCTACAATTGTCAGCGATCTTTGCTGGTACACAAGTGCAAAGTAATGCAATTTACGCTGCGCTGTGTGACGGTGTACATCACAGGCTGAAAGCAGCAATTAGGCTGTGTTTCTGAGCTCAAAGCTGACATTCTGAGGATGACAGCTGTTTTCAAACAAGTCTGAAGAAAGTACAACTTTGCCTAGATTAAAGAGATAAGGACATTTGATTTATGAAGGAAAAGGCATCGCCATTTATTAAGGATGCAAATGCCATGGTACAACTAGAGGACTGGTATGCACCCTTCCCTCCCCACAACAAACAAACACATAATGAAAAAAGGTAGATGAAAGAAACTGAAACAAGTACCTGGGTAGCCAAGGGGTTTTCTTCATCTGGCATCAGATAATGACATAAGGGAGAGTAAGATGCAATCTGATCTGAATCTTTATGTTCCACTACTTTCCTGATATCTTTAAGTTTCTGTTCCAGCTCCAGAAGAGATAGGGTGTGCTTAAGGGAAATACTGGAAAGGAAGAAAGACTACAGTGTTGATTGCAAAATTAATAACAATGTTTTGTTCTCCTAACGATAACATGTTCACAAGTAATAGGATCCAGTCTGCTGTGTTGGTTTGCACTGGCAGACAGCCGCTATAATAAAAACATTGTTTTGGAAAAAGTCAGTACGCCTTCCTTTTTTCTTAATTCTAATAAAACTCATTTTTGTGGGAACAGTCATCACAATAAAGATTAACAGCTAACCACAGAGACTCTTACCTTCCAAAAACTTTATGCACAGCTTGTTTAACAATAGTTATTAACTCGGTCAGTCCTAGAACAAGAAAAGTGTCAAAATTATTCTAATGATTTGGACAAGGCTAGAAAGTAGAGTTGTAAGAGTAGTTAGCTTATAATAAGCATCATACCATCTCCTAAAAGGTGCTGAATACTTGATAAATATTGCTGCTGAACTTCAGGGGGAGCTAGTGGTGTCTGTGGGGGGGAAAGATAAACAGTTCTGTGACACGTCAACAGTAGAGAACAATGCAAAAATAATCTCAAACCATTTGTAACCAATTTCCTTAATCTTTATAATATCCTGTAGCAGATAGACTTCCCCATTCCCATGCAACTCTGTAGCTTCTGATTCTGTCTTTGTGCCATCAACCCACAGATCTTTCATAGGTTCTCTGGAATTTTCACTTCCATATTATAACAGATTTCTCTTCATCTTTAGTGGCACAGAAAAACCTTTCACTTTTCATTCATATATAGGAAAGTCTCTTTAAAAAAAAATGCACCACAGGTAAAACTAGACCTTCCACCACACCAAAAAATTAAACCTAGTGAAACAGGATATTTATGCTCAACCCTAACAAAAGCCTATCTGATAGAGAAGAAACTTTCAGGAGCTGAGACAGGATCCCAATTTGCTCCAGCAGCATTTCTCCGAGTTGGTCCTGTCAACCCACTTCTGTACTGGAAAAATAACAGGAAGGAAACACATTTCTTGTCCAAACCCATCTTGCCCTTTTAAAAAAGCTTTTCCAGGTTTTACAAAATGAAGCATGACCTCCATCAACCCTGTCTTTGTAAAGAAAGCTTTTCTCCGGCCTGCCTTGACATGCTGTTCCTTGACTCTCAACAACAGCTATCACAGAGGGGGATATGACAATGAATCAAAGTTTGTATCCCTTATTTTTAAATGACCCGTCCAACAATTTGCAGATGTTACTCTCTGCAATGGGTACTTGCTTACTGTGGGACTGATCTACTTTTATTGAGCAGTGATAGATATACTATCTAAATCAAAAACAAGTCTCCAGCCTTGCTTGGCCCCACCAACAGACATTTAACATAGATGGCCTTTTGGAGTTAAACAAAATAATCAAAATTTCAAATACAACATTTTTCTTCTTTAATCCTCAGGAAATTTAACTGGGGAAATTAATGTAAGTATTTATATATATTTGCATACATAGATCATTCACACAGTATTATTATTTCATAAAAAATTAAAGCAAGGAAATTATTTTATGTTGCTGTTTAGATATGAAGTAACTTTTTTAAGCAATACAAATGCAGACAAAAAGGTATTCTTCAATATTGCTAGTATTTTGTAAAGCAAAAGTATCAGCAAATCATCCACATTTAGAGATTATGAAAACACATCAAGATATCTTACTTTTTGCAATGGTTCCACATTGCCCACTCTTACAAGTACTCTTGGTTTCATTCTAATACTCCTAAGCTATGCCCTTTTTATCTCTCACTAAATAATCCTTTCCCTTTCAAGAAAGTGGAAGTTTGACCTTTGAAACAAAACAAGAAACTTACTGTGCCATTTTTGCAGAGTGCAGCATTATCTAGGTAGATGTAACCGCCAATAATATTTAACTGGACTCGCAAAAGAACTACTAGCATACAGGTACTATATACAGCTACAATGCTTCTTGTGAAACCTTGAAAAGAGACAACAAAATAACTACAAAGTCAAAGAAATAAGAGTGAGTCAAGGAAGGAGAGTGCTCTCCAAGACTCAAGAAGTGCTGATGATTTTTAAATACACAGTCACATTTCTCTCATTGGTTGTCCTAGGACACATTTTCACAACATATACTCAAGATGGTTGTGAGTCTAGTATGTGCTGGAGCTATATCTAAAGTGTCCCATTTAAAGTCCTGTAGTAATGTCATCTCGCATGTTACACAAGTTATTTTGGAAAAAAAATGTAAATTATACAAGTTGCTCTAGAAGGAAAACGGATATACTGTCAAATCCTCCTTCTTCATTAGGCCAGGAAATACCCACAATATTGTTAGCCCTCATCATCATGCAATTAAGACACAGAAAGCATAATAGCAGCTTAGGAATAAAAAGCTACCTAAGGCAGGAGCAGCTAATATCTAAAGAAAGAAAATGAAAATGAGCATCAGCTACCAGCCACTAGGCAACAGAGGATATGTGGGAGAAGTGACATGAATAAATACGGATGAATGCTAAGTAGCAAGGAAGAAGGAGGTGGATCAAAAATAGGATCTGTATTCGTGGTGTGAAAGGGAGAAACAAAACCAAAAGGAAGGAAAGACAAAACCAGAGAGGTAGTAGGGATAACAAATGGTACCAAGGAATCAAAAGTAATAAAAAAAGCTCAGTAGTATTCACTACTTCATTATCTGACTTCACTATTCTTCTTTCCCTTCCACTGCTTCCATCAGCCAATAAATAACATGAAACAAAGGGTTCATAACCACTGCTCTGGTGGTTATCTCCAACAGGCTTGAAAAGAGGAAAGTGCTGGTCTACATTTCTGATTGATGTTTTCTGTTAGGTTCACCAGAGAACTTTCTGAAAAAAAATAGTTTAATTTTTCTGTGATGGCACAAAAAGTTCTCACAAAGTTTTCTTCAGCAGGCTAACATGAAGGCAAATAAAATTCTTCACCTTTGTCTCTGACCGTCTAACTTTCCTTGGGGCTATGACAAATTCCTTCATGAGGAGCTTTTTTTTGTGTGTGTGGCAGGGAGGGAGGGACAGGGAGGAAGTTTGCCATGTAGTGTGTTACACTATCGTCATGTCAGCTGAAACAACAGTCCAGTGTAAAGTGTGCATTTTAAAGGCAATGAAAGACATTTTAAATTTATACTAAATACTATGCAGATGAAATCTTTCTTTTCCACTTACTTATTATCTTTAAATCCTCCCATATTTCTAACTTGTTTGCTGGCCTGTGGGGAAAATAAATGGAAATATTAAACATTAAAAAGCATATTTTCCTTGGAAATTAATAAATATGTCAAATTAAATAGCAGTGCTCTAAGGCAAGCTCATTTATCTACTATAACTATTCAGATCAGATTCACGTCTACATTGATTTGCCTCATTCAAGAAAGCAGTATGTAAACAATACACTATGAAGTCACAGAAAATATATTAACAGTGTAATGTATAAATGTAGTATTTAGTGATGTCAGTTATACGCTTATATTACCAATTTTGAGTTGCTACACTAAGCAGGCAGAAAAAGCCTGCTGATGGTACAAACTGGGCTTTTCAGGGGCCCTGACCCTCTATATACTTAATGTAGACTGCAGTTCAGTAGGGCTTCCTGCATCCACCAGTGCATAGTAAGTGCAGTATCAGAATTTCTGTATCTTTCTTTCTTGAAAGATTAAAACCAAGCCAGGCAATGGTAAAAGTTCAGATTTAATAATCAAAAACCAAAGAGATCATGACAATCTGTGGAAAAGTTGTCTTGCGCCGTCCACACAAATGCAAGTTATCCTTTTTCTTTTGTTGAGGCATGTTTCATTTTTTTGACCTGACCAGTTCCTAAAATTTTATGTATTCTACAGTCAAAAGAGCAAGGCTGTAGATTGCACAGATACACCTGAGCTGCCTAGGGTACATTGCATATTTATAACTGCTATCCAGAGGTAATGTTACCAATATAGCAGCAGTAGCAGAGACGAGCAAGCTAACCATCCCAAAAGTCTCATCAGCCATTCTGCCCCTTAAGCACTGTCAGTATAGAATGGCTACTGTGTATATATAGTGGCAAAAATACATAGTGAAAGTCACTTAGAGAAACATTTGGTAATTTCTTAGGATCAGAATTAACACTTCAATATTTGGGGCAGATAGTTCAGATTAACCTAGACTTTACAGTAACCTAGTTTACAAAAAATAATACACTCTTAACCAGAAATAATTTCTCTTCACAGGCACAACACGAGCACTTTGGCATTAGTTTCACCATTATAACACTTACATAAACAATGAATTTTTAAGTCCACTGCTATCAAATAATGCTAATGAACTGATATAATAAAGTCTACAACTCATAAAAGTAAAGAGACAGATTAAAGAAAGGATAGCTGGAAGGATCTGTGGTGCATACAAAAACAGTTTACAGATTTCTCTTTTTGCAAGCTAAATCAACAGTCTCAAAAGCTATTCTAAAGCAAAACAAAGGACTGTTAAAAAAATACGGTAATATTTATATAGATGAAACACGTAACAAGACTCAAAACCACATCTGTTACTTATGAGTGGTAAGTTTTCCATGCCAACTAAAGAGAGAAAGAGAAGCCATTACATCAGTGTCAGCCAACTACATTTGCACCTATTATGTCAAAACATTTTCTAGAGCTCATGCTTACAAAGCTTCTCCTCACAACACAAGGCAACAGCCAGGTAACAGTTTAAGTTTGCAAGTACTAAGCCTAACAGTGGAAATGGATTTTTCAGTTTTCATCTACTGCAATTTGGTAAGACCTTGTAGTGGGAATTTTTTCACTGAGAAAAAGACAACGACTGGATAGGTAATCTATTAAATACTGGACAACTGAAGTTATAGCTATATAAATAAACTAGTGGGAGGCAAACTAGAAAGACAGTCTAGAGTGAGTCAGAAACCCTGTGTTAACTGTCTACATAATGCTTTCATTCCGTGTCAAATGCCAAGCAGCTTCCTCTACTTTTAAGGTATGCTATTATGCACTTTATGTATTTAAAAATATGCTATTTGTTCCTGCAGTTACACGGAAACCAAAGGTGTTTTCTGACAGGGAAGCATTTGTCTTAATGTATGACATGCCCCTATTTGTTCTACTTCAAAAAAGAAAAAAAAATACTTCTCATAGTTTACATCCATTTGCAATCTCATCTTGGATACTTTCCACTACTATTCATGTCTGACCTTGATAAGATTACATAAACATTTTTACAAACACAACAACTCAGTCAAGATACTCTGTCCTGTTTAAGAGAGGACTAGATCCTCTAAGTACTTCTATCTGCGTATCTTAGAAGCACTTCAACAAAAACCACAGCTCTCACTGCAGCATCTTAAAGAAACTATTATTTCTTGTAGTGCTTGAAAACGCCAGCCATACCTATCAAAATACATCTAATATGACATAAAATATTTATGTAGTGATTTCAAAATACTTTAAGGCTAGTGACTCAGTGGAACACAGCATCAAAATCCTGCATGCTTTCTATATTATAAATATATAACTTGAAAAATACTTATCTTGTGATCAAAACAAGTGACCTTTAACACAATTAACAAAACAGGCTTACCTATTTTTAAGAAGGGATGTGAGACTCTCAGAATTTAATTGATGCATTAAGGCATCCCTCAATGTTGGAAGCATTGACAGCACTTATTAAAAGAAAAAAAAAAAGAAAAAATCTGTGAACATAAAAAAAATCATCATAAACCTATCCCCAGCTCTCACTCAATAGCTGCTATACAACACAAATCCCATTGGTCAACAAGGAAAGGCTGGGAGGACAAACAAAACAGGAAACCCTGGGAGTATGCAGAAGTGCAATCACCAGCATTCCTCTTAGGAGCTCAGGCACAACGCTGCCTGTACATGGCTACATGTCTGTGCTGGCCCTCGCTGCAGATGCGTACTCACATCCTGCATAGCTGCATACACGGGCTTTCAATTCCCCAGAAGAAACCTGGTGAAAATCTACACTGTTTCATTTCTCCAAATGAGAAGAAAAACCTCTGAGGTTTGTTTTTTTCCCCAAGAAAAGAACCAGAGAAAGGTATGTTTTTAAAAAAAAAAGAAAGCTGGTGGGAAAAAATCCTTTACTTTCAGAATATTGAACATCCAATCTGCTGTTATACAAGGGGAACAGGAAATGGAAAACGAGCATGCACAGACCATAATAAATACTAAGAACAAAATACAAAAAATCTTGACAAGAATGCACGCTGCCAGACAGAAGGTACTTTGTACAATGAAGGACAAAGAAAAACTTAGTCGTTGTAGTGCTGGGATTGATTTTACTGCAAAATGGAAAAGATGAAAATTAAATACCAGGGTATTTCACATCAAGGTGAACACAGTGCATACAAAACATCTGCAGCCACCCAAAAAGCCATTACAAATTTCAACAGGAGAAAAAAAAGCCACCCAAATTGTTTCACAGAAATACTTCTGAATGGCCTGTATTTACAAGAATGACAAGGATTTTGTTATACTCTGCCCTCCCATCTCCTCTCCAAAAATCTAATGACCAGTGCTATAATAGAAACACTTTCACTTTTTCTTCCCAGCTGGTCAGGTACCTTTTTAACTATTCAAATGCAAGGAACTAATGGGCTGACGGGTTTCTTATTTGTAAATAAAAATTACCCACTAAGATCTCTATGTAGCTTACTAATAATGTGCTATAATAAAGATAATCCTGCTGTAAATTCTGTTTTGTTAGAACCTGGGTGCTGCTTCACAGCTCAATACCACACACAGTTTAGGGCAATACATGAAGAATCTTGAAGTGACAGAAAATTGTAACCTGCACATATATTTGTATGCATTATAGATGGATATATTCCAAGTAAGGATTAAGATGACCCCCAGAAATCACTTCAATTCTCTGTTCTTCAGATTGTTTTTATTATGCAGAATGATTCTATTTATGCACTAGTATTTAATTAAGATTTTAATTGACCTACATTGGCTATCCTTCTTCCATCCTGTCAATATGTAGTATAAAGCCCCAAATAATTCCACTTATCAAAACCAGTAGCTATTTCCCTATCTTACCTGTCATATTGCACGTCCTCTGATTACTTTCAAAATGATACTGCCTTCGTGCTTGGGCGATGTATTCAGCTGCCTCTCGTTCTTGGATTTCTCTGATTTTCTTCTGACCATATTTTCCCAGTAAATAGACTCCTACAGAAAGATTTTCATATTATAAGCTGCTTCAAAAATGTGAAGAAGGCCCCTTCAGCCTCTTTGTTTGATTTTAAACCATAAGGGTGCATAGTGTTTTTTTGGGATATGTGCGTCTTGAGTATTTTAATACTGATTGACAAAGTAATACTCAGAAATAACATTTTTAAAATTAATGAAAATGTCAAGGGTAATGACTTGAATCAGTATAAGAAACTTGCCTGAGAAGAGATATCTTGTCTTTCAAATAAGGCATTTTTGGTACTACTGCAAGATGAACAACTACTACTGAAGAGACTGAAGCAAGTATTGGGAAGAGAAAAAAATGTAGGGTAACAAAAAACAAAGAATAGAGAAAAGAAACTGAAATGCACAGGTCTGGAGATGGATGAAAATTTAAAAAACATCTTTCTAAAATTACCAGAAGTTAGAGATGAAACTCAAGTCTTAAAAATCACATAAGACAAAAATGTTACAGACCAACACTTCCTGCAGTTGGTCCTGAAACTTGTCCATAGGAAGAACCTTAGCTACGGTGAGGCTTGACTGTGGCCCTCTTATTTCTTACTCTACCTAGTTCCTACTTGCCAGTCCCACTCTTCTCCTACCCTTGAGGATCTGATCATCCCTCATCACCCTCACTACAAATCTGTTTCCACAAAGACCCACGAAAAATTTTTGCTCTACATTTCCTCCTCTCCCAACATACATTCCTTTTAAGTTTCCCCCAGCCACTCTTCCTGTACCACCACGGCTTCAGAGAGCTCTCCAGGATGCCCACAGCCCTCTTCTCATCTTTCCTCATCTCCGGCTCCCTTTCTAAGCCATTCCTCAAGACACCACTACGTCGTCTAGATTTATCCTCAGCACCTTCGCCCACTGCAAGCTGCTTGGCATGAATTTCACCCCCTCGACCCAGGGCTTTTCATAATACCCCCTGTGTATCAAGCTCATTTGCTGCCTTCTGTATGCGCTAGTAGCAGCTGTTACCTATTTAGGTGCACAAGCAGCTCTTGCCATGTTTGCTCATGAAAGAAGCAGGGTGGGGGGGGAAGATAAGAGAAGGATAAGCCCAAGCAGAAAAGACTAATGTACAAGTTGATCATCTTCTGTCTGCTGGGAAGCAATCCCCTCAGTACTGAAACTCCTCTGCAGTGTCAGCTCCAACTCTGTCAAGTCAATAATGGTACACAGAAATCTGAATATCAAATCAAGTCTGTTTTTTTTTTTTTTCCACCAAGCACTTTCAGAAGTCATAAACACAGACCTACGAAGTTTTCTTCAAAGTTCAATTTCCACATTTCAAAGTTAACATCTGAATGAATGAGGCATTTAACAGTTGCTGAATGCTGAAAGTTTTAGATCTATTTTTATAAGTCCAATCCACAAAAACTAAAAAGCCCAACTCCCCAATATTTTGAATTCAGATAAATTTTTTATGTCATTAAAACCTTTCAATACAGTCTCCAAAACCATCATCAGTATTTCAAAAGGCTTGTAAACTTTGTGACCCAATATTTATGGTTGCAAAAAATTCAGTTATCCATATTGGCCTTATGTTTCCTAATAGGCAGCTACAAGCCAGACCAGTTTGGAACAGCCATAGTCACTTCCATTTATTTCCCAAGAGCCTCATAAAAACAGGGAAGTCACTCTCCCTTGCTTCAGCCTTTAGGCAGACTGACCCATTTGCCATGTAAAAGATTCACTTCATTAGATGCAAACTTTAATATTATGGTTCCATATACATAAAAGGCAGTTTTACCACTGTAAATTGTTAACCAAAATGAATTTCATAAATAGCAATTAGATTATTTTTCTCTAAAAAATTATCAGTTCCTGCCAAGAACATGTATTTAGAACACAATTGTCAGAGTACTGATTTTTTTTTCAGCCAACATACTGAAATAGCAACCATTTTATTAGTATTGGCAAATAATTTTTAAACACAAGATTTTTCTAATCATTTTATCCCACCACATCTTTCACATTACATTCACACAGTCATCTGTCCAAATGACTACTTTTGTTTATTTTTTTTTCCCCTCAAAATAAATCCTTTAACTCCAGGTTTTGTGTCAGAAAAGTCGTTAGTGTAATAAAGATGCTTTCTGAAAGTACACAGGACATGGGCAGACATGCAGAGAATTCAAGAAGAATCATGTGCCTGCCCTTGAGTGATATGCTGGAGCAGCACCTTTATAATTAAGACTGAGACAGCTAATTGCTTAATAGTTGATTGTTAAAGCTGTGCGATTACTTTGTACTAAGAACTGCTGTGCCTTGCAAGAGTCCAAAGTTGCATTAGCAGTCATCCAGGTTTAACAAGGAGTTTCCAGAAGAAACACTTGTCTAAAATGATGCAACTACTAGTCTTATTTCTACCCCCATTCCCTGAACTAAGACATAACTGTGACCCATCACTAACACATTATTTACTCCAGTATCATCTTCATCTTTGGGAATGCAATGTGTTAGAAGTCAATGAACAACAAAAAAGTTTGCATGTCAGCAGCCGACTGCCTCTGTTACTAACTGCATGGCTTGTTACCGTTATCAGCTTTGTGACAATGAACTTCTGCCCACTAGTCACTGGTGCCAGAACACCACATGAGAGCCTCTGCAAGCCTCCAGCTTACAGGACATTTCAAGGAGCTGCCAGCCTGGGAGCTGGTCTGCACCTGTGCTCACATTTTACTTTAGAGCTCCCATACGTATCTCTGTTGATATACATAGCATTAATTCAGAGGACTTGACAATAACAGACCTCCTTAGAAGTCCAGGCTGAATGCATCATATGAAAACACTGTCACTTAGAGCTGGAAGCAGGACCCGAGAAAGCCACATCCCAAGAACTGCCACGCCAAGTCAGCTAATGTACCTGTAAGGAACTGACATTTTAAAAATCTCTGTTGTTACAAATAAGTAAAGTGAACACCAGCTTTTTACAACAGCAAATATAAATTTTACCTCTCAGTATGGGATAGTACATCTGCAAAAAGTGGCAGCAGCAACATTTTATTCACGTCTAATTAGCTAAACTGTTTTACAGGTGGAACTTCATACTGAGTCTTTCCCATACATTCTATAAAAAACCAGGAATTAAGAAAATTCAGCAATAAGGAGACTGCCCAAAATATAATTACTACAGAAACCTTTTTCTGCCTTTTTAAAAATGTGAACTATACAAACAACTATAGTCTCAACACTTCTGATTCACAAAGGGTTCAGAAACAGATGAGTGCTACAAACTAGGACTACATCAGCTGATGCCAGAACTTTTAGGTACAGGAACCTCAGCAAGGATCTCAAATTACAATTCATATTGCTTTAAAATCGATCTACAAAGTAAAATGAATTTACATTTGTACTGGCTGTCTGTGCTGGTTTTGGATGGGACAGAGTTAATTTTCTTCATATGTTTTGGATTTCTGCTGAAAACAGTGTCAATAACAGAAGGAAGATTTAGTTACTTCTGAGCAGTGCTTGCACAGTCTGCTTCTGCTTCTCACTCCACCCCACCAGCGAGCAGGACACAGCTGGGACAGCTGACCCGAACTGGCCAAAGGGATGTTCCATACCGTATGATGTCCTACTCAGCAGTAAAATTAGGGGAGAGGCTGGCAGGCGGGCCACTGCTCAGGGACTGTCTGGACATCGGTTGGTTGGTGGTGAACAATTGTTTTTATTTGCATCATTTGTCTTACTTACATTTTGTTTTTCTCTCTCTGTTTATTTATTCCCCTCCCTTTACATTTTCTTTTTTATTACTAAACTGTTTATCTCAACCCATGAGTTTTCTTACTTTTACCCTTCCAATTCTCTCCTCACTGTCCGATAGCACTGAGAACACATGCGGTCTACAAAACCCACACCTGTGGAACCAACACTTGTAATCATCTGTTAACAGTGAAATGAGATAAACATGCTCTAATTTGTCTCTGTCACCCTCTCTGGCTGTAGCACTGTATAGTCTCTTCCTATCTAAATGTAAGTAACAGAAGCCGCTTTCAAAATCTGCAGGCTCTTATATATTAATGCCAGAGGCCTCAAACAAATAGGATATTTCTCACATCACCTAAGTTATGGGTTACCTCTCCCTTCTTCACAGGTGGAATGGAGAGATGAGCAGAAGGGTGGGACATCCAAGTTCGCAGGAAACATCTTTACAACCCTATGTAACCTTTACCCTCACTACCATATTTCCCTCAGAAAAAAAGGGGAATTTTTTCAGTTTTAAGAATTTTATTATGCAGAAATTGCACTGAAACACAGAAGCCTGCATCCTTCCAGAACATCGACAGCTCAGCAAGTTGTGGCTTGTCCTTATGTACAAGCAAGCCATGCATCAACTGACATACAATTGCCCCATTATGGTTGAAAACCGTATTTAAAATAAGAAAGCACTAATGCCTTATTCTCTTGGCACCACTGGGTCCCACCAAAACCTACGCAATGCCCCCGCACTCACTCACAAACCAAGACAACTTTCTTTGCTAAGCAGGACAGACTTTGGAACCGAAATGTTCTTTCTGCAAGCCAAAGGTTTCAACAGATGAAATTGAGCAATAACTCATTCATCACTGAAATCAGAACCATGTATTGCAGACACACCCTGAACTTGCTCTTCTACTGCAGCGAGAGAATTTCAACAGTGAACCATTTTGTAATATCCATTGAAATCTACTTTGAATGCTGAGCACTGAGATAGAAATCACTTCACGGTAAATCTACCTATGCAGTAAGAACAAGTGAACATAACACGTCCTTGCAGCTCCGTCATGCTAGCTCTCTCTCTACTTTAAATACTAGTGGGTTTGATCCCAGAGAACTAGAGTTTGCTTGCTTGAAAAGATTAAGTCTTTTTAGTACACAATTTACTTTATATCGCTAAAAGAACAGATTTCTGAAGAAAGGGTTTGTACAGGGTCTTTGCTAAGTTGAGGTCTTCTCAACCCCGCTCTACAGTTAAGGGAAAATTACAGATTTCAACGGCTTTTCCCTCAATTTGAGCTCTTACGAGTTTTGTTTCTTCATAAGCAGAAAAATCTCATGCAGTGTTGGGATTGACAGAAGTTACACGAAGAATGACAGTCATTGATAATGCACGAGGAATCCATCTCAGTAAACAGAGGAAAGGCTACCAACCAATCTGGATTTTGGTGCAATAGTTCTTCAGTAACACAACACTGATACAACATTGTATCAGTAATAACAAAGAGGCTCTTCTACTGTCTAACCAATCATTAAATATTCACATTAATCCCTGACAATGTGCCAGCTAAAGACTTAAAACCATTAAACCCTGTGATGTTTCATTTTCCTTTTTAAATCCTCCTTCCCAGAAAATGCACCCACAGCTCTTAAAAAAAACCAAACACTCGAGAGATGTAGATTCCAGTCTCTGGTATTAAATCACCAGATTTGGATGCTTTTCTTAAATCATTCAGCCACTTCCAAATATTCTCTCTTAAAGTAAAAGCAGCAACGTAAAGTTGCATTCTACTTTTCAACATTAGACAGTATTTTTTGGAGGAGAGTCCATTGTGGATCTGAGTTCTGATTCATTGGTGGTGGCATTACCATGGCTCCTGAAGTTATTTTAAGGTCTGATCCATAACTAATATACACATGGCCAAAGCACTCATGATTCAGCCACTGAACAACTGTAACGCAGCACTCTGCAGTAAATCCTTCCATCTCCAAGGCAGCTGATGATGCTCACCTGCTTGCAGATACCACAATTTACTACAGCCACAAATACAAAAAAAGTAATTCTCTACAGAGCCCTCAAATACAACATGG